CGATTCGGCTATCGCGAACGGTACAACGTACATATTTATGAGTTGTGTTTCACCCGCTTCAAGGTAGAGTATAAAAGATCATATATTTTCACAGCTCTTCCAGTGAAGCAATAATTGATATTTAGATATGGACTTAAATTTGAAAGTATGCGGCCTATAAAATGTGGTTTTACAAGTTTGAAAGGCAGCTTATTTTTCTTAAAGCTGTACCGAGTATTGTTAATTCTGTAAACAAGCTTTAAAAATATTATTCTCTCGCTTACAAAGTTCAACAGACCTTTTTTTTTCGTTCCGGCAAAACAAAAAAATAATAATAAGTGAACAACATGATACATTCTTCCTGCATACTAAGCATTATAGTTATTGAAAAGTATTTTATTTAGCAAATTGTGTGCATGAGTTATTTTTATAATTCTGTTTACCGTGTGATAACTCGAATTCCCTCACGTACGAACAACGAAAGGGGGCAAAGTCCAACACTTTCACGTGCCAGTTGTGTGATTGTACATCTCATGCAGATTGGCTTTTCACAATAATAATAGTAACTTCAACGTATGAACACCTGTTTCGTTTTGTAACCAATGCCTTAAAAAAGGCTCTTGTCTTTTAAGAAGCAATAGCTTTTAAAACATAAAGAAATAAGTTGTTGGAGTTAAGGACTGTTTCACTGAGTAGAATCGCTCGTGAAAACCGCGTGAATTGTGATGATGCAACCATCTACCACAATGATAAGAATCCTGGTATTTCTTAACTACTCGAATTCGATGAGTCACATTTTGGCTTAAGAAACTCCGAGGAAACCTTAGAGTTTTCCTTCTAATCAACGTTTGGTGGGTAGATATTTATTTTACTTTCATAATCTGTTTAACTTGCACCAAATGTAACAGGGAAAGGCAGGGGAAAGTGAATATATAGCATGAGGATCGACGCATCTGAGCGTTTCGCGTTTTCATTTATAAACGGCAATACCCAATGTCGCACAAAAATCCAGTCTACATTTAGGACGAAAAAGGTAGATTCATCACTCTTGGTAAGGTTACACTGAAGCATTTAAGTTACAATGAAGCATTCAAAATAGCTCACGCACGTTTAACGTGCCTATGTTTAGTTACTGCTGTTCACCTGAAAATGAAAGTTGTAGACTGACAATACCTCTGAATATAGATAACGGCCGAACACCAAGTTTGTCCTGTTTTACCGTCTTTCTAACCATAAAAGCTTCATCCCAAAATGTCTCAATAACGCTCCCATAGATTTTGCTTAAACGTCACGAACATGCAGGGGGCTACAGGAGGAAAAGGCTTCCGTAATCGATTTTGAAAGAAGAGTTCCCATTGTTGAGGAATACGGCTGCAAGTAAAATAGGTAATGGTGTCATTTTGTTGCTATGACAGCTTGGACGTCTTTGTAACCCTGATCAAAACATTTTTCTTTCTTTACAACTGTGGTGGTAATTTCTCCAAACCTTTGTTAATGGCGACGCAGTTTATGCTCAAACTTGGGAGGTATTGACCCTGAAAAACTCCATCGAGCCACCTTACCCTCCTTAATCCGATAGTAGTTGCATCTCATGTTGCACATTTCCACTTTGAAAACGCCAGCAATTAATTTATGCCACTCAGCCTTTTGTTTGCTAATCGTTATTCAGACCTCTTGTTGCACAAGTCGCTTTCTTAGTAGCAAAAGTCAATTTTTTGAATGTCCTGTGTATTCGCTAATGAAATGGCATTTCTCGATGCACGCCATACGCTACTAAAAGTGAAAGTTTATTCTACGAAGGTGTTATATCTTATTTTGTTACCCATGAGTCATTTTGGACGACTACGTTGTATCCCAAGAGCCTCTGCTGTTTAGTATCAAAAATGAAGGACTAACCTAGGTAGCTCGCGGGATCGCTTTTAAACGGCCGAGCCTGTGCCCGTAGCAATTGGCGAAGCCGTGGTTAGAATTTCACACTGGTATATAGCCTTCTACAGGCGTTCAGATAGTGAGGACGGGACAAAGAGGAGTGAGCTGGAAGAAACAACGATGGGGGATGGAGGTGGAAGTATCCTTTTTTTTCTACGCCGTTTATTTCGCGCAACTCTCCATTATCTGAACACCTGGATCACACTAACTCGTGGAGCAAAGTCAGGAGGGAAAGTCCTGCCTACCTCATTTTCTGTTTCAATTTGTTTCCGGTTTTTTTAACGCCATCCTTTTTGTTATCATTGACGGTGAAAACGAAGAATCCAATAATGGAGAGTAAGTTATACGAGACTACAAGTGATGACAACCAACGCAATCTATACGTAATTCAATAAAGGTTACTTTGGTAACTGGAAATGACAATTGGGCGTACGGAACTTACTGCGATGATTTACATGAGTGACCATGCACCAAACAATAGCTTCCCAATGCGCAATTCCCAATGCTTAAAGTAACTGTCATTGAATTGAGTCAGCTATATACCAAAACCTTTTTATCTTTGATGAAATATTGAATATATGAAAATCATATATAGGAACTGAGGGTGAAGAATTAAATAACAGAAGATCATCGCAGTTATAGACGCAACTTTTGCAATTGCTAAAACAGAGCCTGAAAAAAAAATTCAAGATGGCCGGTAAGCGCTCAATCCCGTGATCTTAAGGAAAAATAGAGGAATGTGAACAGTTCATGTTGTAGGCATCGTATTCTACTCACATACATCCTCGGAGACCCAGGGGCAGTCAGTTATTAGGCCAGCATGAAAGACGCGACGAAAAATTTTAAGCATAGGCGGATACAACTTGAACTCAGCTAAATCATCCCACAGGCAACCCAAGCTCACTATGGGAGTTTAATCATTGATATGATATAATTTTGCGTAATCTGAAAATGACCGTGAACGTAAAGGATTAGTAATGCGAATCCCAGGAATAGATTAAAGAAAATGAGTACACGCAAAAATTCTGAATAAATGTGCCTAACCTTTTTTCCTGCTTTGTTCTTGCTTCCCGTGTGGTTAGGTCCCTAAGATTTTAGCATTCCTTCACCCCTTAGAGAATCCCATAAATCTTTAACCGAGATTCCAGTACAAATCCCATATTCACGGAGAGGTTCAGCATCACGTTTACGTCAAACGGCAAACGCGACCACGTGACCAAGTTTTGCCATTTAGTTGTCGTTTACTGCTCATTATTTCTATGCATAAATTAGTAGTTTCACGCAATTTTTAATCCAAAATAACTGTTTTGAGCTGTTTTTGCCTCCTCATTTTCTATTTTGAGAAATTCTCAACTTGAATCTGACGTTTGCCGTGTACGTGAAGCTTAAACTCTCTATTATCCGGGCCATACTCCATACTGAGTTTGGGTTACCTGTGATCAAATTAAAAGATCGATCGACGGCGTCATATTTCATAACGTGATGCACCTTGAAATTGATTTAATTTTCAATATTTAGTTTTGAAAGCAAGCGAAATTGGTGAAAAAGCTGCAACTCGAAACTTACAACCTTACGATTCACACCACTTAACTGCAGGTAACATTAACAGTAAATAAATGTCTCAAATAAACCTTTTTTCAAGCATACGGAAGAATCTATGTCCATATTACAAACTAGTTGGGATTAGACTGCAAACAGTCGGTGTTTTTTCACAAAATCGGTTTAGCATAGCTTAAACGTCTTACACATGAAGCGCGCGAGCCTCCCCCCAGTCTCGCTCTCCGTTTTTAGCCTGGCTCCAGAGCTTTTGCTTGACTGCTCGCGCGTACTTGAATACGCAGAAAAACAGACTGTTTTGCAGTCTAAGTTGGGAGTAAAGTTTAAAACTTCTAGCCATGCTAGAAGCAACATTTACAGTCAGTCATATTTCCGGCTTTGTATGGCTCGGCCCTCCGGGATAATTCCTTTTGGGTGGAGAGGAGAAATAACAGGAAAAAAGTCTGCGTTCGCAGGCTACTGTAGTAATGAAACTGCTATTAATTTTAAATAAAGCTTGTCTCAACTGTTGTAAAAGTTATTTCAAGAAAAGTGTCTATTATTATTCCTTGGAGCAAAGTTGTGCTTAAAAGTGAAAGGTACCGTTAGATAAGAACGTAACTAAAACCTTTTGCTACATCATCAGTCAGATATAAGATCCTTACATTGAACCTAGTAACCTATCTGAATTAAGTTTGCATGCAGATAGTAATTCTTTTTAATTACTAATGTCATTTTATCAGTTTCAAATGGGCAGATCTGCCTCCGTTATTCTGTTATCGGTGATTACGATGACAAGCCTTTTAACCCTTGCGCTTCGACGTAGTTTGTGCAAAAGAGAGAGTACAAGATGTCTCGCAGGGACAACGACGACGCGAACGTCTAAAAAGGAATACGCAATATTAAGAGAAACAACTCTGCACGCGCATCACGTTTTTCGGTACATTTCGACTATGACATGAAATTACTAGATATGGCGTTTCACAAAAGCAATTTTTTTTATTCTGATATATTTTGAAAGAATTCAATTCCAAGAAAATTAGGTCATTTTTGAGCTGCCCGAAACCTCTGTTCAAAGCGAGGTTAAAAGCGAAGCTATTGATATGAAAATGATTACTTATTCTCATGTAGATGAAACTCATTATCACAAAAAAGGCTTTGCATTTAGCCTTGTTTTAATGGTGAGGGTTGTTGGAACTCAGAATTGGCCTATTGTCTTGCTTTTTACAGATTAGCGAGCTGGAATAATCGCATGAAATGAAAAATTGACAGGAGTTGAATTAAGTTTTTCGTGACGTTTTCTCTGCCGTGGTTGTCTTACGTGATCCGAAACTCCCTATCAATAACTATAAATCCCTTAAACCATTGTTCCTATTGCTTTTTTCTTGTTTTTTAAATGTGATAATTTTTTCATTTCTCCTTACTATTATTACTATTATAACTTTTCTACTTATTCAAAGGGTGCGAATTAATTAAATTGAATGGCAAAGCATAGAGCAGTGCTCTTTAGAAAACGCGTGTCCGTCATGTTGCCAAAACTCTTAAAAATGCACTAGTCAATTTGAAGCTACAGCCCCATATGAGTAACTGTTTCCAGCGTTCTTTACAAGTGCAAGTTCAACATCAGTGTGTTTGTCTTCATGTTCCTTTATGCTCCAAAGTGGTCTCAGTCCATTTAGTATCACGAACAGTAAACCAAGCACGTCAGCTAGAACAGCCATCCACAGTGAAACCTTCCCAGCAAGCGCTGCGATCACCATAGCGAGCTTTAAAACAACGGATAAAGCAATATTTTCCGCAACCACAAGGCGACAGAAACGGCCAAGTTCGATAAGCTCAGGTATTTTGGCCAAGTTATTGGTCATCAGTGCTACATCGGCCGCTTCCACTGCTAAGGCGGTACCTCCGGCACCCATTGCAATCCCAACATTCGCTGCAGCCAGTGCTGGACCATCATTGATTCCATCGCCAACCATGCCGACAATACAATTCTTGGTGTTGTCGCAGGAACAGCAACAACACGCAAAACACCGATCACTATATAACATTTCTCCATCACCGACATCTATGGCAGCTTGTCTGTCTTTCACCCATGACAGTTTATTTTGCGGTTTCATTTTAGCGATGCATTCGTCCAGTCCCAGCTTATTCTTCACGGCCATGGCTGTTTGCGAGTTATCACCGGTAATCATTGCCGACTGGACTCGAAGCTTTCGCAGCCACTCAATCGTTTCCAGGCTGTGTTGTCTGATCGTGTCCGCGAGCGCTAGCATCATCGCAAGGTTACCATCTAAACAGACAAATATCACCGTCTTACTTTCATCACACCAGGTATTGTACTTGTCTTTCATGTATTTACGGGGCTTTATTCCGGCAATATCATTAAGAAATTCATAGTTCCCAATCTGAACCAGATGGCCCTCGACAATACCGGAAATGCCTTGTCCTCCGTGAAGCTCAAACCGTGATACTTCCGGCAAAACAACGCTCTGTGACGTTACCATATCAGTAACGCAACCAGAAAATTCATTTACTATGGCTGCGGCGAGAGGATGGCTTGACTTGCTCTCTAGAGCAGCGGCTAAGCGTAATGTAGCTCTTTCGTTGACACCAAAAGAACATTCTATGTCAACAACTTGAAACTTTCCTTCCGTTAGTGTTCCAGTCTTATCGAACGCAAGAACTTCCAACTGAGCCAGCGTCTCAAGATGAGCTCCACCTTTAATCAAGGCTCCCCTTCGCGCAGCCGCAGTGATGCCACATACCACGGCGATCGGGGTGGACATGACAAGGGCGCAGGGGCAAGCTATGACCAGAAGAACAAGTGCTCGTAGGCCCCATTCTTTAATGTGATGTGAATAGTTCCCCACCCCAGCGGCACCAAGTATGGCAGGAACAATCACAACAAGTGCTGCCACAATAACCACAGTTGGTGTATAGTACTTGGCAAACCGGTTTATAGCAACTTCGGTTCTCGTTGAACTAGTTTGAGCTTCTTGAACAAGTTGTGCCACTTTGGAGACTGTAGAGGAAGTTGCGTCGGATGTAGTCTCAATTTCCAGGTATCCATTTTGATTGACAGTTCCGCTATAGACCTTTGCGCCAACTGTTTTCCCCACAGGGACAGATTCCCCGGAAACTGAACTCTCATCCACAGCTGCTTGACCCTTTACTACCACACCATCCAATGGAATCAGTTCACCAGGTCTAATGGCAATGGCAGTTCCTGTGATAACCGACTCTACTGAGACACATTCACCGGTTTTCGCTAATGTGGCGACTTGAGGTGCTTCGAGCATGAGTCCAGAGATAGTCCGCTGAACCTTAAACATGCACAACCCCTGCATGGCCTCAGCGAACGAGAACACGTACACCACAGCTGCACCTTGCAGCCACTCTTGAATGGCCAGCGTTCCTGCTATGGCAATAAGCATCATGATGTTGATGTCAACGGTGCGGTTTATAATGGACAAAAAGGCTTTCTTCAAGACTGGAGGGATACCAAGGACGATTTCAGCGATGGCCACCCACTGGAACCACTTTGCCTTTGTTAGAAACGCTACCACGATTACTATTAACAGAATACTCTGCAGCAAAAGATAAATTAAAAACGCCAATAACGAACGCGGCAGGCCTTCACCCTTGTTAGCGGAATGATGGGATCCAGTCTCCATGATGCTCGCTCCCAGGTGCTTTCGATTAAGTGTGGTAACCAGATCTGTAGCTGACGTCACCTCCGGCTCATGACGAACATACACTACTCGGCCGATTACATTCACGGCGACGGATGTCACGCCTTCCAACGGCTTTAAAGTATCTTGAATCAAACCACTTTCCAATAAACAGCAGATGTTTTGAACTCGCAGTTTCGTTGTACGCTGTTGCGGAATCAGCTTCTTTTCACTGCTTCCGCTCTCCTTTGGTAGCAGTGGAGATGAGGGGGTGGTGCAAAGTGTGTCTACCGCTGAAAAACGCCTGACTGCGTCACCAGGATTGCTTGATTTTGCACTCGTGTCTCCCTGGGACCTCTTCGGACTACGTGAACTTTGGCAAGGACTACTAGATTTAGAGCATGTTGAATCTTTTGAATTAGGACGCCCTGCCATGTTATCATCTACAGATCTTTCAGTGGGTTGACAAGAATTGCAGCACTCAGGCTGTAGCGGCTGTGATTCTTGCTGTTGAGAGGTGTTTTCACTTAACAAAACTGGCTTGGGTTTGTCCTCCTCATTTGTAGAACAGCATTCACTCTTACAAACCGACTGTCGAGCTTTTTCCTCCTCAAATGTTTCTTTGGTGCTTGAAGAACAACAGGGGGAGGCTTTCTCTTCATTACATAAATCGTTTTCACCACCACAGCTTGGTTTTGAAGTACATGCTTCTGGAGAACGGTTACTTTCCGATGAACATGACTTTGATGGGAATTTACCGGTTTGAAGAAGTTTGTCGCCTTCTTCATTATCTTGGTCGCCATGGAAACACTCGAGGCATTTGCAGGAGTCAGCCGGGAATTCATCATAGCAACAATCACAGTGGTATTCTTGGCACATGTTGATATGTCTGCGATCTGTAAATAAAAACATCAAAGCGTTACCATGTAAATAAAGAACCGTCTTTCGTCGAGTAACATTGCCAAGACAGAGCTACAGTATGAGCTATCCAATTAAGATCGTGTTTTACATTACAAACTTTAAACATGCCTCTATAAAATGCTATGCTAACTAAAACTCTTCTTTTTCGCCGATCATCCCTTCCGGTTCAAGCCAAAACGATCAAACGAAAACCGTTCATAATCACTGCAAACATGCAGCAAAGCCGTACAACGAACATGCAGAAAAGAAAAGACGTTTCCTAAAAAAAACCCTTTACAAATCAAAATGAATATGGCGCGCATAAAGTAGAAGTCCTAGAAATCGGCAAAAAAAAAATTATCGCAAGCAACATCTCAATAAAAATAAAATTTTTTTGTGGGTTTTATCACAAACTTGAAACAAAACGTGCTGCGCACTGCGCTATCTCATAACTAGAAACAATCAATAATTGACTGAAGAGCGTACGTCTATTTCTTTAATTGAAGTTGGAGCTTTATTGATCTTTATTGGGGGCAACAACCCGAACCAACGATCAAGTCATTTGGATTGTCATTCCGATGATCATTTCCTACACCGGTGGCGTTACGTTATTGTTGTAAGATTTTTAAACATTTTTAAATGGTAAAACTTTACCGAAAGGGTGCATGAATGACAAAAAATATTAATATCAGGTAACACAAGACACCCAGCAGATTTGGATGTCGTCACTGAGCCTAATAGGCCAGGGCCCCCGGAGGAGTTTTTAGAGTCCGGGGCCGGCGGCCACCTCTTTTGAAGTGGGGGTTGGGGTACAGATTGGCTGTTCTCTCTTTATGGCTGTTTGGAATTGTCAGATTACTGAACCTTTCTTGAGTCGTTGTTAAGCGGAGTCATGTTTATAAATTTCAAGCAGCGGAAGAGTACCTTTCTCCTGCTGAGCCTGATTGCACATGTAGGATCCACCAGTAGAATTTTGCAGATCATGATATTATACTGTACGTTCCTGTAACCCCTTCATTTTGTCTAGAATGTCATCGAAATGCGTAAGAGACCACATCATCAGCCGATATAATTCGTTTCAAGAAACCGTAGTTCGTGGAGTAGTCTTCAGATTTAATCGAGAACCTTCATAAAAAAGACTCTATTCCGTATCGTTGCAAATGCTACATAGCCATGCTGGTTTGAAAACGCAAAAGTCTAGGACTATAAAGGGCAGTTTTGTAAAGATAGGCGTTTTGAGGCTTATTATGGATCCGACTGATGGGATCAAAACGGACCAATAATAAATTTAGATGATGGAAGATTCTTATTCCAGTAAAGATACTATTTATATGAAAATGTATATCACAGTGGAACCTCTATAACGAAGTCTTCGGTCTAACGAACTATTTTTTTTTTCACACCATTAATAGTAAAATATAAGGCAATATGAAAAAGAACCTCGATACAAGTTAACGAACCTCGTTATAACGAACATATTTTGCCAGTCCCTTGGCCCTTCGTTATGTCTAGGTTCCACTGTACTTAATTTTATTTATTTATTTTTTAATAAGTGGGGGGCCTGGCCCCCCCAGCCCCTCCCCCTGCGCGGGCCCTGTAGGCCTTTTTCAACAAATACCATAATACTAAGGGCCTGTTTAGTTAAGGTAAAAAAACCACTGCAAAAACCGTGTACGATCGATCTTGCTCAACGTCGGATCTAAAAAGATCGTGATCAGTCAAAGTAGATCAAATTGAAAACGTTACAGTCAAGAAGGCTTTTGCAGGGACTGATCAAACAACGTGAAATAGAGTTAAGTTGCGATATTTCGACTGGCCAATACCAGTCTTCATCGGGTTTATTGAGATACCACGAATTTACAGAAATATATATGAAGTAAAATAATGACCACATCAAATCTCATATCACTTGTGAAAATTTTAATGTTATCTATTTGATTCAATGTCGCCTGTGTAATCTACAATATATTGGAGAAACTAAACGTCGCCTCAAAGACCGTTTTAATGAACACGGACGACCAATATTCAACCCTACTGGTAATTACATCCATACTGCAGTTTCAGAACACTTTCTAACCAGTAATCATTCCGACAATCATATGCAGAGTTTGATTCGTATTGAAAAACTTAAAAATGGGCGTGATTCTTTCAGGAAAGCACGTGAAGCCCACCTTATCCATAAAGCTAAGACAATTGAGCCTCTAGGCATCAATAAACGTGATGAACTGTAACAAAATATAGTATAGAATAGAGAACAAACCAATTTTCTATAAATCTTGGTTCACCGCAGGTGTGAAAGATGTTAAAGACACCTTTGATACGGACGGAAATTCCATATTAAGCTATACTGCATTTACCTCTAAATATAAAATCAAGACTAACTTTCTAGAATCCTATAAGGTAGTATCAGCCCTGAAACTGTTCAAGCAAAAGTGTTCTCAACAACCCAACAGAGGACCCAAAACCAAGACCTTTGGGCACACATTACTAGCCTCAGACAAAGCCTGTAAAACCGTTTACAAATCAATTATCGAAAAAAAGGCCACCACCCCTCTTAAGAGCCAGGGAAAATGGCTGTCCAAGGAAAATATAATAGGAAATGCGAACGTGAACTGGAAGAATACATACCGCCTCCCCTTTCTGTGTACAACAGAAACAAAGTTACGAGTGTTCCAATTCATGTTCCTCCACAGACGAATAGCAATAAACGACTTCCTCTTTAAAATCGGCCTAAAACAAGCAGACTCCTGTTCTTTCTGCGGAGAATTTACTGAAACCCTTGCCCACTTGTTCTGGTATTGCAGTTACACTCAAAAATTCTGGAAAGACATTTATCAATGGATAACTCAAAACACCACCTTAAACAAATCCATTGCCTTCTCTACTCTTATCTGTCTTGGACTAATTGATAATATCTCTGATTTATTACTACGTCACCTTTTCCTTATCGCCAAATGATATATTTAAACATCACGAGGTATTACAAGTTAAAAAATTTTGCAACCCTGCGCTACAGGTTTTTATACAAACCGTTATGAACGATTTTGGGAGATTTTCATTCCATGGAAATTGTAAAAGAAGATTGCCTCGAAAGCAGATGTTTCTGTTAATAACAATATGTGTTCCTTCAAAAACAAATGGAGTTTTTCCCAATATCTCTCATTTAAATTTTGACCCTCAAGGGGACAAATAAACTTGAATATATTTACAAATGTAAGTTAAATAACTGTTTTTTATTAAATAATTTTTCCTTCAAAAACAAATGGAGCCCTCTTAAACTTTGCCCCTCGGAAAAGTTCCAAAAGTTAAAAGTGATGCAGAAACAAATGCAAATCCAAAGCACCTTTTAGTTGGTAGGACAGACTCCTTATGTTTTTGTTGTATCGTGTTTTATTTTTCAATTTTGCAAATAGTAGTCAAATTTTTTACGCTTAATTAGTTGTAAATGCTGTAACATTGTATTTTTCCTTTATCTCTTGTACGTTGTTTTTATTTTCCCTCCATGTAAATGTAAGTATTGTCATTAGAAGTGTTGCAACCAAATAAATGTTATTTAAAGAAAAACTATATATAGTATATCTTTTATTTTTTTGTTATCTTGTCTTTTTAAGTAGCCACACCATACCACGTCATATTATGTAATTTCCGGTCATTATTTTACTTCATATATATTTCTGTAAATTCGAGATATCTCAATAAACCTGATGAAGACTGGTATTGGCCAGTCGAAATATCGCAACTTAACTCTATTTCACGTTGTTTGATTGGTCCCTGCAAAAGTCTTCTTGACTGTAACGTTTTCACTAAGGGTCTGTTTACACGGAGGTGGGGGACCCCAGATAGGTGAGGTAACCCGCTTAGGTGGAGTCACCCGCCTGTCAATGTAATCTCTCATTTTAATTTGATCATGTTTACATGATAGGTGGGGTGACCCGCCACATGTTACCTCACCTATCTGAGGTTCTCCACCTCCATGTAAACAGGCCCTAAATGTTGTCCCTCCAACATTTTGCATAACCATTGTTTTGAATTTCTCTTGGGAGTTACAATCGCCTCGAAAGAAATTGAAAACAATGCTTTAGGATACCTGCAGCGAAATATTCATTTCATGTCATCATAACGAAGGGAAAACAGTGGTGACAAAATCGCGAAAAAAACGTGAAATCTGTAATTTTTGCAATTTCCGTTAAAATCGTAAAATCCGCAGGGCCGCTTTGAGGATGTGTTGTTATTTAAATAACAAAGGGGAACAATTTGTGAAAATCGCAGAAGACGCTGACGAAAATTGTAAAGTTTGCAATTGCCGTTAAAATTGTACACTCCCCCGCAGCGTCTCTGTTCGCAAGCTCATCGCGCAAAATCGTTAATTTTGTAACTTAATACATAGCAGAGTTCAATCATGAATTTAAGAGTAGTGGCCTGCAAACCATCGCTGCCCAGATTTTCACATGACTAGGCCTTTCCCGATTGCGCTCGTAAAATCCTGAAAAAGTGCTGGCAAAAATGGCTAAAAAGTGCTCAAAAAGTGCTCAAAATCTCAAAATAGTGCTCAAACAGTGCTAAAAGTTGTGAACAGTTACCTCTAAGCTTTTCGTAAATATGTCAATTTTTACTGACGTAATCAACAATCTATTTTGCGTAGTGTTATTCGACAGATTGTTACGAAAGGTTGATAGAATGTAGAACAATAATATTTTTAAAAAACTAAAGCCGGTTACGAATTGTAAATAAATTCAGCAGTACTAGTGCAAAGCCTAGACATCAGATGATTTAGAAATTTGAGATGACACACGCATGATACATCAGCCAATCAGAAACTTCTGTTCTTACGCTCAGTAAGGATAAGTCCACGTGCCTTTCCATGACAACGGTCTTTTATTCTTGACAACATCATTAGTTATTCAAATTTATGACCTGGAACACGATTCTCGTTGCGAGCGACACACAGTTTTTGCTTTAAAAATGTTTTAGAAGACATA